TTCATATTTCACGATTCATTCATTATTCATGATATTGCATAAGTTCGGTCATCTACTGTAATTCAAAGGGTTCTTAAAAGTATTTTCAGTGCGGCGTGACCATAGCTCTCTTGCCGTCCAGGAACCCAGGTAAACCGTATCTCACCCAGGAGTAGTTTCGTGGCGTAGCTTGGTGGAGGAAGCCTATTCTGCAGTAACTGGTTCCCAAGGTGTACGTCTCTACCCTCTCTTCTATACACTAGTATAAGGTTCTGGGATTGTGTTAGACAACATTTGCGATGTCGCAGTACTGTAATGATGCGACCGCCGTAATCCCCATCACCCCGCTGTCCTTAAGGCCGTATTAACATCCTATTCAACTATGCATTACTAGTGGATTAACTGATATGTCTACCGCCTGCATGTTAGGTAGGGATTCCCCGCATACCTCGTGAGACGGGACAACATCTGCCTGTAATAATGGGACAATTTACTGTTTCCAGGTCGTGTACGCGTTAGCTTGTGATTTATTTTGCAACATTGACTTTGATCTTCTCATACAAGTTAACGCACAGTTGATCGGCGAGTGGTGCTTATGAAAAAGCAGTAAATTGCCACCTGTAACTCTGACCTCGGACATGATGAGCGATTGGTCTGGAAGAGGAAAGTTAAGTTCGACCATCGATTTCGACGAGGTCTACCGTGTGCTCTACAGCAGGATGGTACAGGAACAGTGGCTTTAGTTTCAAGCGATTGTAGACTTGCACTGCAGTTAGCACACTCTGTCTTCCCTCACCCGCCCGAGCCTGGTGTCAAGGCAAAGTCAAGAAGACCGGAGACGGCATCGGGCGCAGCTGGCTGGTGTGGTGTGAGCCTGCATCTACGCATGCCGCCACGTTTCCCACATGTTCGGCATTTATTATGAAAGCGTAAGCCCAATAACGCCTCCCGTGCCCTGATCCCGCACATCTACCACGCGCTTCGTTTAAGGGTACAGAAGTATGCACTCTGCGCTTTTATAAGATATTGTGGCTTGTCATCTTCGGTTTCTCCTTCTCTCGTCTTTTTCGTCAGGCATGCTTTGACTGC